AGTGCAACTTTTAACTGCATTATTGAAAAACAAAGCCTGCGGTCTGACATACAGACGCACAAACAAACCAACAAGCGAACGATAAAATGAAGTGACCACAAACGAGACAATACAGTAAAAGGTGGTTATTCTTAAAGGAAACGCTTGCAATAACCTGTATATATTTCATATTTTTGAAATGTTAATGTTTGATCTTGTCTGCCTCGGTCTCCCATCACAACAGACAACATTTAAAAGTTTACTCTAACATTGACAATAACACAGAAGAACATTTCCCTCTCAGTTGTGTGTCTTAAAATGGTGATCTGAAACAAAAAGGAGGTCCTGTCATGGGTGCAAATATGGAAGTAGCTACTGTAAGATTTGTAGGGATTTAGATTTTTGTGGGCTTTTAATGCTAAACCAGTTTTAACTTCTTTAGATCTTTTCAGACTTAATACTCTTAATATTTTTTTTAATATTTTAACACATTGAATATGAAGTTCCTACTCATCTGTTCAAAGTTGGACATGTGAGTATGTTGTGATAAGTGATCTGACCCAGACATGTGATCCCTGAAACTTTGGTGAGCTGCTATCAGGGGAAGTAAAACCAAATCTAGCCTGTTGTTCAACTTTCTCTCCTCAGTTTACGCCTCACTTATGTCAGTTTTCAGAATAATATAACAGCATGATGTCTTTTCTACTTTTTCATCCTTTACAGACCCATCCTTTCAAAGCTCTCACAGGTCAGTTTACAATCCCAAACAAAATTCATGACAGCAGTGGACACTTTTGAACAGGACATGTCAGCTCTGTAGGGTAGACACAACAACTTCATTATTGACTCTTATTAACACCGGGCATGTTTTCTGTGAAAGGAAAACCTTTTAAAAAAAAAGTGTCAGTCCCAGAGCACCTCTTTCAGCGCACACCAAATCCAGTCCAGTGCAGCCCAACAGGCCCACAGCTCTCTCCCTACGAGCTGATGATCTGCCCAGACCAGGTCTCATGTTTCGTTCCTGGCTTGAGGTGTGTGATCTTCACCTCCACCGCCTGCACCTTCAGGTTTTTGGGCGGGACCCGGCATACTTTGTATGTGACTTCATCTCCCTCAACTGGGACGTATTCCCCCTCGATGCTGAAACGTAGAAAATTCAGGACAATGAAACAGAATTAGAGCGTTTTGCTTTGCAATGAGGATAAAAGCTGACAGGAACACAGAGTGAGGGAAATAATTATTTGATCCACGCCGGAATTTGTACGTTTGCTTGCTTACAAAAAACAAAGTCTCTAATTTATATGGTAGATTCAATGAAAAATGAAGCAACAAAAGAAATCCAGAAAAAAAGAAGAGATTACATGAAAGTTATCAAATGATTTGCATGTCATTGAGTAATAATGAGTATTTGATCCTCAAGCAAAACATGACCTAGCATGTGGTGGGGAAATCTTTGTTGGTTAGCACAGCGGTAGGACGTTTATTATAGTCAGTCACCAGGTTTGCACACATCTCATGAGGGATTCGCTACTTCTCTTTACTACTACTCCTATGTTACTCTTTACAGAAATCTTTTAGTTTTCTTTGCTGTTGCTTGGCAACTTAAATCACCAGCTCCCTCCACAGATTTTCTATAAGACCAAAGTCTGGAGACTAGTTTGGCCACTCCATGACCTTAATGTGTTTCTTCTTTAGCCTCTCCATTGTTGGTATGTTTTGGGTCAGTGTCATGTTAGAAGACTCATCCACGACCCATCAGTGTTCTGCCTGAGGGAGGGAGGATCTTGTCCAAGATTTTGCGGTACATTGCCACATCTATTAGTTCCTGAACAAACTGAACCTGTCCTGTACCCTTAGCAGAAAAATAGCCTCAAAGCATAATGTCTCCACCTTTGTGCTTGGCTTTGGGGATGGTGTTCTTTGACTTATACTCAGTATTTCTCTTTGTCCATGCGGGTCAAGTTTGAGACCCACCATGGGTCCAAAACTTGACCCATCATGGAGGTAGATTTTGGTTTCACCTAACCATAATCCTTTCTCCTAATCCTTCTCTGAGTTATTTAGGTGTTCATTGTAAAACTTAAGATGGGCTGGTACATGTGCCTTCTTGAGCAGAGGGACTTGCAAGATTTCAGTCCATTGCAGTGTGTTCTTGGTTACTGTGGTCCACGCTGCCATAAGGCAAGATCATGCATGAAGCTCCAGATCGAGGGCGACTGATATTATATTTCTTCCATTTCCCAATAATCATGTAGACAGGTGTCTCCTTCTGACCAAGGTCTTGTAGTCTATTCCATTCTTTTGCAGGTCTACTGTCCCGTCCCTGATGTCCCTTGGTGGGCCTTTGGTTTTGAGTATCATAGTGGAGAGGCTGGAATGGGAGAAACTGTCAACAAATGTGCTACATGTGCATAATGAGTTTGGATCATAAACATCTGTAACTGATTGATTGTAAGCTGTGTGCCACATAGGTACACAGCCAATCTGTGAGAGCCAGAATTCTTGCAGGTTTGTAGTGGATCAAAGACTTATTTCACACAGTCACATGCAAATCATTTTTTTTGTGAGTTAGGAAATTCAAAAATCAGCAGGGGGTCAAAAGATCATTTCCTAGCTGTACAGGAGGCGCCATCAACAATTAACAATCCGCCTATGTAAAAACTACAACAGAAAATCTGTTTTTAACTTTTTCACGTTATTCACACAACATGTGAGAACCTGTTTGAAAATCACAACCATTTGAAGCCTCTTCTATTTTAACTATTCTGTCTAAATTTCCTCCACACTGCACAATGAACCAAAGAAGCAGCGACTTACAGGGATAGGCTGACATTTGGGAAAATACCAAAACCATTCACATGATTAAAGTGTGGAGCTAGAGCACACAGAGGAGGAGAAAACAGCTCTTCTCCCTCCATTCAGAGCCCAACATCGATCTCTCGTCTCCTCTGAGCCCTACCAAGTAACTTAAAAAGATTTAAAACAGTGGCTGTTGTTTTTACACGTGTACTGACAGAGAAAGCTACATGCCTCCTCCTTCCACTCTCACAAACAGACATGAGAGTAGTAAAACGCCTCATCTAAGCAACTCAATCCTCTCCAAAATGTAAGATTGCTCTCTTTAAAGGAATTGTTCCCTTTACACAATAAGGTCCCGACATCCGTTCATAGAAAGAAAATTAGAAGACAGCTCCAGGGTAACAGGATCATCAGTGCGTAATCAGTTTGCACCAGTTTGCCGAGTCTTTACTAACATTTGCCGCATTGCTTGTCAAAAAATAATTTTAAAAAATCACTACAGATGAGTTTTTCCTGGATTCAGAGTAAGAGAAGTAATAAAGTGAGAGAGAAAAATGCTTTCGATTTGAAAATAAGTACAGAGATGTTTGCTCAGTTCTTCCTGTCCTTCCTGTACAGTTGACACTGCAGAACCGCTATTTTTTATTCAGCTAGCACAACATATTAGTCTGCTGTGCGTTCAGCTTTGTTTCCACTCACTCTGAGATGTGAACAAAGATGTCTTCACCGCCGTGGGAAGGTTGGATGAAACCGTGACCTTGTGACCTGGAGAAGTTCTTACACACTCCTTTAAAAACTGGACCTGAGTGAGCGCGCACAGTGCTGTGGACAGAAAGAGGAAGACAATGAAATCGCTTACATCAACAATAAAATAGGCTTTTTATAGTCCAAAAGCTGTTCTGTTCCTCCAGCGGAGATCAAACAAACAAGACAAAAAGCAGTTTGGAACAATGCTTATGCGATACATTTAATGGGTCACACTCTTTCAGCCTGACAAATGGAGCCGTGGGATAATAGAGAGAAGCATTTAACAAGGAGGTGAGAAAAGCAGATGAAGTGCTGATGAAATCTGCTCCCACACACACTGCCTCACAACGTCACAGCGCAACGACAGCAGAGACGAGAGCATCTGCTGAGGCACAATCGTCCCACGATGTGCGAGTCCTTGACACATTCTGAGTAACAATACTGCAATTTAAAATTACTCTGTAGCAGGTAAAAGTACTCAGTCGGTCAGTGTTGGATCAGATAGTTTAATGTTGCTGCTGTATTGAGTCAAGGTGGAACTACATTAAACTATTTTATATACCTTTAATTAGCAGAGTGTTATGTTTTATCACTTTATCATGTGTTTTCTATCTAAAACCTCACCAACGAGCAGCTTAACCAGCAATTAACTTCTTTATGACCCTTCGAAAATCTATTACACCAAAAAGATCAAGTGTTTGTATCATACACTTAACACTAAACTTAATGCCTAACTTAAGCATACTTAAGTTTACGCAGTATCTTAATTGCCTCTTGGGGATAAATAAAGTCTCTCTGATTCTGATTATTCTCTTAAATGTAAGCCAAGCATTTTTTTTTTAAGTAAGAGATGGAAACATTGAAGTAAGATGCAAGTGCATGAGAACTTTTCATCTCTCACTGCTTTGTAAATAATCTAATGATACGTACGCAGAGTATGTGCGGGTGCGTTTGGTCGGCAGTGGGCTGGGCAGTTCTCGCGGCAGGGGCTGCTCCCTTCCTTCCTCCCACACCCGGCTCCTCTCGCTCAAGAAGGGGAAGGACAGGGTGACAGAGCTGCTGGGGGAGCGCAGAGGGGTCCCAGAGGGCGATGTGAGACTGGGGTCCGCCATGTCAGATGTGATAAAGAAGAGGACGATTTAGGGGTGGGGGGATGTTGTAGATGTAGCTGCTGACACTGCTGTCTGTCTTCCTGTGTATCTGTTAGCCCGCCTCAGTTTGGGAAACAGGTCTGGGGGAAATTCAGGTCAGCGCTGTTGCCTCAGGTCTGTTAAGACGACTAGCTGTGAGGAAACAGAGAGCAAGAGAGACCAGGGAGATCAAGGAGCTGTCATATTTTGGCCTGATGGTTGAAGCCAAAAACCACGAACAATTCAAAGAACTAGATCCAAATGTATGTCTTCATAGATAGATCGCTGAAGGAGAAGAGTTATTGTGCAAGCAAGTATTGTAAATCGTATATTTAATTAACAATACATACACTATAAATTTGCAGCCCTCCATGCACATAATGATTCACAAAGCTGGGAGATTTGTCACTGATAGATTAATAAGATGAGCAATGCAACTGGATGCCAACATCTCACATTTTTAAATCCTTAGCAGAGGTCCTATAGTGCAGATGTATAAGACACATGCTGACACAGTTAAAGCTCAGTTCTTCCTTTCAGGTTAAGAATCTATCTATCTATGTAGTTTACTCAACTAAAACTAATAACATGGTCATAAAAACTAACATCATAGCCTATATTTCATATAAGCTGGGTAGAATATGTGTGTGTGTGTGTGTGTGTGTGTGTGTCTTTCTTTACGCCCACTCAGCTGATGATGCAGGCACGCTACGTGACGTCAAAACAGCTGCAGAAGTCCGCGAAGTGCGCGTTCGTGACGTCAGTGTAATCCCAGAGGACTAACATAATAGAAGGCCCACTTATACTAGCACCTGATGTGGCAGTCTGCATGCAAATAAATAAATAAATTAAATTAAATTTAAAGAAAAGCAGCCCTCTGCGTGAATGATCGGTGACTTTTAAGGTGTTTATCACAGAGAGGGGGAAAGAAATGAAGCGACAGTTTTCACTTTTACCCACATGCAACAGCTGGAGAACATCTGAATGACAAAATGAATCAAGCAAAAAAAAAAATTTAGATGGAAAGGCCTGACTGATTGCGGAGTCTGTCCTCAGAGAATCCACTATTATACACTTTACAACCGGATAAACTGTCGTTTCTTTTGTTTTCGTTTTTCATAGCGTAAAGAAACATTTTCCTCGACTCGCACCTGCAAGTGTGCAATTTCTGCGGAAAAAATAAGCGGATAAAGCGCTCTGTGTGCTCTGTGTAAGTTGGAACAAAAGCAGGGTGAAAAGTGGCTTCGTCAACAGTCAGAGAGACGACGGAAGGCGACCGATCCTCCACACAATCAGGAAAACACACATCAAGCCTGTCTTTTTCTGATCCAGCTCTGACTGTCAATCAGGCGTGCAAAGAATACAGTACGTCCCGATCCGAGCACAAAGACACACTGACACACACACCCTCTCCGCTGGCACTTACACACGTATGCATTCCCAGAAATGATACTTACTGCATCTGTTCCGTAAGTAGGCTGAGGACGGTCAGGGAGTGAGTGCGTGTGTTTTAAGTCAGTGCGTATTATATAACGAGTAATTAAATAAATAAGCCAAATCCGCGCAGATCGACGGAAAACCCTGATGTGACGAAGAGAGAGGCGGGGGGAGTGTAGGGGGAGGGGGGGCTGCTGGTGAGTCTGCGCAGCTGGCGGAGATTCCGATGCCGTGATGTGACTTGTGTGGGAGAGAAAATGACTTCCCTCATTCCTTGACTTCCATGCCAGCCTCGTGTGGTGAAGGCTGGTTTCACCGTGTATGTCATTTATGCTCTGCTACTGACGGCTTTGCATTTATAGATTTATATTGATGACTGCTGACAGAGTCAGGATGCAAAAATGAGCTCGTGTTCACATTATTTAGTACCCTACATAACGCTACTTATTCACATGCTGACTTAGTTCATATGTAACATTTCTGCTGCTCCCTTTCCAGCGCAGACTGTCCTTGTTTCACAACATCAACCACGCAGTTGTCACATGAAACAGCCCACTGATTGCACAACAAACACGTCTGTGTGTGTAGACTGACATTAAGTGTGCAGAGGGCAGATCTGACTGTGTCCTTCACTGCCCATTACACTGAAGGATTTAAAGGCTGCTCACTAATCCTTTCTGATATACTTTCTATAATCACACAGAATGAAAAATCCACAGAGCAGCTAGCTCTCATTTTGACTTTTATTGTGGGGAAAAAAAACAGAAAGGGGTGGGGGGTTAGCACACACTGAGGATACGTGCAGCAGATCCTGCAGGTGGAGGTATGTCAAATAAAAATAACATCTTTTACAACATGCAATGCTGGAGACATATTCTGTTTGATTTTGCCGCTGGATGCAGTTTATATATACAGTAGGGTCACACTTATTTCTCCCACCTGCCTGAAAGATGTTAACTTAATTACATTAAATGGTAAATAATATTCTTGCAAAAAGTCAGTGCTTCCATACAAACGGTCTCGTCCCTTTTAAATTACCCCACATTCTGCATGTGGCACAGAAAGGACTGCTGCTCAAAAGGCACCGAGGAAGAACTGGTTCTCCATCACACGGACGCCACATGGGTGGAAACAGGCACCAAAACAGTGGGGTTCAGCGACCTTTGCCGAGGGTCCCTCGTGCCTCAGATCAGCTATGATGTTTGAACAGCTAGCGTTAAAGACTCAGTGCTAGCTGTTCCACCATGACAGCAGCCCGAGGCCTGGCTCACAGATGGTGCCCTGAAACAAGAAGTGGAAAAGGTCAGGATGGGTGTGATCCTTGACTTTTAGAAGAGTTCAAGCCACTGCACACCCACAAGACTGTCTAGGTCTCTTGTTTCAGGAAATTTGTATACATACCGGTCACATCATACTCAAATTCTTGGTGTAGTAGACACAGAGAAAATCAATGCTGGCTACTATGCTTTCACATAAAGCTGAAGAGCTGAAAAGAGCAACTTGTCACTATGGAAGAATTCAGATTTTACAGATGCCACTCACATTATCTATTCTGCGTACAGGTCTTGTTCGTTATGAATTTTCCATCAATTTTCTCCAGTTTTAAGCATCAATTAAGCTTCTAAATGATCTCCGGGTCTGAACACAACACAGAAACAGCAGAAAAAAAGGCTTCCAAAAAGCTAAAGCTCCACTGCCACAAGTTTGACATTATTTTGCAATTCAGCACGTAAAAAGTTATCTATAAATAAGCTTGTACCTAATTTTGTATGCATCAGTAAAGAGAGACAAAACTAATTAGAGCTTGATAGATTTTTTAACATGCACACACATAACATTTTAATAATGACCCATTTTTAGACGTGAACGTAATGATATTTGTCTCGCATCAGTGCTGCACCTTCCTCTTACTTCTTTGTACACTAATGTAAATGTCCTGTATCAGTCAGGTTAGGTAAAGATAGCAACGTTTATGGTCTTCTACTGCTGCACTGCAAACAGCACGCCTGTCAGGAGTTCATAGGAAATATCTAATTTAATCAAGTGTTTTAGCTTGCTATCTGGACAAAGCAGTCTCTAGATGTCCAAGCTCCCAGCATCATTTTCATGAGACCGAACAGCACGACCATAAGAAACGAGGTCTAGCTCCAAAGGTGCTCCCCCCCAGAAAAGCTAGAGAACAAAACTGCTATTGCCTTCTTGTTTGTTTTTCTTAGCTTGTGACACTGACACAACACATCCCACCGCCTAACACAGAGGGATGCAAAAGTCTTGATCACTTTAGTTACACAGTGGTAATTACTTCTTTCACTAGAGCGATGAAAAGGATGGTTTTAAAAAAAACTTTCTTGTGTCCATTTAGAGACAGTTTGGTAAGAAAAACCTGGTTGACTCCTTCAGCCATACAGATGAAGGCAACGCCTTAATTACCACACGGTTACGGTTAGCACCATAATTTGTTGGGCACTTTTTTGTCGTTTTTGCCTCTCAACATCACTGCAGTGGATTTATATCGATCAGTCATAATGCGAGCTTTAATTCAAGGGGTTAAAGGAAAGCACTGCATTAAGTGTTACCAGTGTTGGGAAGGTTACTATTAAAATGTTCTCCACTACAGATTACAGAATACATGCCCCAAAATGTATTTTGTAACGTATTCCGTTACATTACTCAATGAGGGTAACGTATTCTGAATACTTTGGATTACTTAATATATTATCAAGCTTTTTACAACTACATGAATGTACTATTCCTGTTTCTCTGGTTTATTACTATTACTGAAGACTACTCGCCAAACCAACAGCAACTAGATTTTAAAATCTTAATATAAAATGAGTAACAGTAGGGTGGACATTAGGTAAGGCTGCACTTTCTGCAGCGATCTCGTATAAAAACTATTCCGCACATATATAAAACAGGTACAAACCGTAGTAAAGGGACCTCTGGCTAATACGTTGGGTTCTGTGTCGGGCTCGTAGCCAAAAACTAGCTTTACTTTGTTGTCTGGGTCAACTTTGCTAGCGAGAGACAGAGAGAGGCGTTGAAAGGCTGCTCCAACGGAACTTATTGTTTTTGGA